GTTTCACTGACAATTTTTGAAAAGCAAGGATTCCATGATATTTGCCTATTTATTATAAATATTTATGTGAAAGTGTGGTTGGATGCCCCGAAACCTGCACTTGCTCCAAACCAAGATTTACAATTGTTAAAATCTTTGGTAAATTACAATAAAGTCAATAAATTTATCTCAGATATATCAGTTTCAAAATTTATCAACCACATATAGTATCTCAATCCAGAGCAGGCTGTTTTTTCATTATTCGATGATTCATTAAGTAATTGTGTAAAAAAGAGAATGGCAACAAAATTAATATCTCAAGCAAATGAGGATGAAGAACTTGATGACTACTGTGATATGAAACCATTAATAACAATAAATGAAGTATCAGAAATATTGGACAAAAATGCGGACCATTTTATTTCATCACAATCAAGTAATTTTTTAAAAAAATTTAATATTAATGATCAATTTTGCATATCAATCCAGAATTATGGAGTAATAACGAAGAATATTTAATGAGTAAAAAGATTGTGGACGGATTAAAAGTTACAAATGATACAGCAGAAAGGGGTGTTAAATTAATAACAGATTACAACTCATGTATTACAAAAGAGGAAGATCAAAAATAATATCTTTTGCAAGTAATTGCTGAATGTCGGACAAAATTTCCTGGTTGCTCAAAAGCCTCATTATCCGAGCCTCTACCTTTTGAACAATGAGTTAAAGTAGAAATTTATTTGATGTATAACAACTATAAACAATATAATATGAATAAAAAATGTGTTTATTTGTTAATAATAGTGATTTAAATACAACGGTGTTATTTTAAAAACATTTCTTTATAAGTTATTGTGTGTTTTTGTGTTATAGAGAAATTCAACGTTTTTTCAATGTGTATCTGTAACAATGCAAATATGTCAGAAACTATAACTTGTAGCTAAATAGTGATCATAGTAACATTTGAAGAAAACTAATCAATGAACAAAATAAAACCAAAATCATGTTTCTAGAGTGAACCGTTTTTATTTTACAAACCAAAAACTGCGTTTTTTTTCAAAATTTTCCAATTTTTCGAAATTTCAACCTCGATGAGGCACGGGTTAGCATTATCCAATTGAGCTAAAACTTTACAAATGTCATTTTTTAGTCAAGTGGCACAATTTAGGGGGTTCTCCCGATAAGATTTCGAAATTTTTTTTTATTTACATATAGCGTTGTAACCACCCTAGTAACCATCAGAAAAAAAACCGACAAAAGATCGATATTTGTAATCGTCAATAGGAGTGCATACATTAATGGAGCCAAAACGCAATTAGAAGTTGTAAAGTTTTACAAACAATTAGACAAACGGTTATAAACTAAAAAGAATACGCTGCAGATGCTAAACTACTATAAGCAGATTCTTCTTCTTTCTCGTGCCGATTCCATACAGGACATTGGCGACTATCGACATCCACAAAACCCAATCTTTAACTATGGAATGTAGTGATATTCAACAACTGACACAAGGACTTCCCCGATGTACTTCATTGTTAACCGCGATCTCTTTTTTCTGCAATCTTTTCAGTAGTTGTTAGATTTTCCATTCCTTCCTTCGGCACGATGTGACCAAAAAACTTTAAATGCCCCAGTCAGATTATTTGTAATTTCTTCTTTTCATAACCGGACTGTTTTAATATATCTTTATGTATTATGCATGTCTTCAGGTTGTTGTCGTTGAATTCGCCGTTTTACCACAACAGTCTCCTTATCTAAATATGAACAATCAACAACTTCGCTCTGCCAAAGCAGCGGCACTTCTTCATAATATTTCATCAACCAGCATTGGGAAACAAGCATTTCGTTATGCTGCTGCAACTGTCTGAAATTCTCTACCTCCAAACATCAGAAATTCTAGCTATTATTTTACATTGACAATGATTTTAATTTTGTAAATTTGATTTTAACCATTGAAACCGTGTTATTTTTAATAACTTGTGGTTTATTATTAATTTTTTGATTTCGACGGCGCCTCAGTCGCTTGCATTGGCGCTTTATAAGTGACATTTATTATTTATTATTATTATTGGGTGCGCTAGAACGGTAAGTTTGTGAAAAAGGTGTTTAATCACCAACGTAGGTATAGTTGGCCGATGAACTGCATTCGTTTATTTATATTTTATTGTTTTTCACCATCAAAATTTTGTGTTTCTTTAACCTTTACAGCTTTTAAGCGAGTTTTTTCACCACTGACAACTGTCCCAAAGTAGACAATTTATTTCTTGAGTGAGGCGTTTTAAAATTTACTGCTGAGTTTGGAAACGAAATAAATAGATATAACCGAACGATTTCTTCGATGTCAAGCAACAACACCGAAGGCTACAAAAAAAGACATAGTTGGTGCCTCATGTATCAAAAACGAGATGGTTCTTGAACAAGATGAGATCAACCTACAGTGGAGAGAATACTTCAAACGTTTGTTAAATAAAACAAATCCCATCAATGTCAACTTTGACGCTCCACCCATCGAAGGTCCGATTCCAGACATCACTGTAGAGGAGCTTACGGAAGCTCTGAAAGCTATGAAGGATGGAAAGGCAGCAGGGCCCTCTGGACTCACAAATGACATTATCAAAGTATTTGGTACTGCAGGTATCCAAACGTTACTACAACTTTGCCGTGAAGTGTGGAGAAATTGCTCAATGCCGACTGAATGGAACTATAGCATGACAGTTCCGCTATACAAAGGCAAAGGTGATTCATTGAACTGTTCATCATATCGGGGTATACGTCTGTTAGAACACTCCCTGAAAATTGTCGAGAAAATCATTGAGAGAAGATTAACGTCGTTCGTCACAATCGGAAATTATCAATTTGGTTTCCTAGCGGGGAAATCAACAATTGATGCAATTCACATCCTTCGGCAACTGCAAGAGAAGTACCTCGCAAAGCATCAACAACTATCACACATTTTTGTAGACCTTGAAAAAGCATTTGATCGAGTTCCCCGTGAAGCAATCAAGTGGAGTCTACGTCGACAACTCATACCAGAATATCTTGTTCGACTTGTGATGGAAATGTATACGATTACTAAGACTCTCGTCAGCACAACGGTTGGAAACACAGATGCATTTGACATCGGCGTTGGAGTTCACCAAAGCTCGATTCTCAGTTCACTGTTATTTATAACTGTGATGGAAGAAATCACAAAACCGATACGCACTGGTGACATTTGGAATCTAATATATGCTGATGATATCGTTTTAACAGCCACGTCTGAACAGAATGCAGCACAGATGTTTGAAGATTGGAACACCAAACTCGCCGATCATGGATTCAAAATCAACATCAGCAAAACCAAAGCAATGAACACTGGTGAACCCATCCTATCCACAGCTACTGGACGATGGCCCTGTTCAGTTTGTAAAGCTGGTGTAGGTAACAATTCAATCAAGTGTCAGCAGTGTAACCAGTAGTGTCACAAACGTTGTTCAAAAATAATTGGTACTTTATCTAAAGTGTCCAATTTTGTTTGTCCTGCTTGCATCAATCCACAACAACAAATTCGAAATATAATAGCAATGTTTTTGAAGCCATTAAGGTAGAGAAAGTCACATCGTTTCAATATCTAGGGGATGTTCTAGATTGTACTGGAACAGCTGCTGCCGTTCGAACACGCATACGTGCAGCCTGGAATAAATGGCATCTCCTTGATTCTATATTGATGCGGCAAGACATCCCACTACCACTACGATCAAGACTTTATAAATCTGTGATATGTCCGGTTTTGTTATATGGTGCAGAAACATGGCCAATGACAACCAAACAGGAACAACAATTTCAAAGAACCGACATGAAAATGCTCCGATGGATGCAACGAATTAGTCTGAAGGACCAATCAAATTTACCGAAATCCTGCGTCGCGCTGGTTTAGATGATATAAAAAACGAAAGCCGGCAACACCGTCTGCGGTGGTTTGGTCATGTCAAACGAAGTGGAAACAGTGCCATAAATTCCCTTGCAGATATTGAAGTACCTGGCACACGTCCCAAAGGCCGTCCAAAGAAGGCCTGGTCGCAAACAATCGAGCAAGACATGAAAGCTCTAAACTTAAATGAAATGGATACAACTATTCATCTAATTTGGTGCAAAAAGTTGATGGCAAAGAAAAAACGTCCTACCACGAGAAACTGGATCTCTGGACGCTAAACGAAGATTGATTGATTAATATATTCACGCCTCCAATGGATATTTAAGGTAAATCTTCTATTTCTTTTATGATGATCACAATAGAGATTGTACGAGTCTGGAAAAAATAATACACAGCCTTGCTTAACAAAACTAGCCATCTCGTTACCAACTTTCATTGCTGCTTTTTGATCCCAATAGAAGTTTTTGGTAACTCTCGTGCCTTTTCTATCATTGTCCAAATTTTCTAATGTTTCCATAAGCTCCATATGTTTCACGCTATCAAAAGCTTTGGAGTAATTGACAAAACGAATGAGCAAGTCTTTCTTCATTTCAATCGCTCGTTCATTGATCATTCATAGCATAAAGATAGTGTTTCTTGGGCGGCAATCCTCGACAAAACCACATTGGTCATTTGAAATTTCAACCTATGATGCATTGTGACTGGTTCAAAGAAAATATACCAAAGAGCTTTTCAATATCGGTTCAGAAAACCAAAATATGTCCATATTTGTTGACTCACAACTCAAATTACTACTGCCATGAATCAAATATATTGTTGAAGACACAAGAGATTTTTTGAAATGGGTCAATAAACAAGCCACAAGAGATTTTTTGAAATGGGTCAATAAACAAGCCACAAGTATAACACAACTGTGTGTATCAGCCGATGTGTCATCACAATAAACTAATACAGATAATGAAAGATCCATAAATACAATCAAGAAATACTTATTTAAATTCCAAGGAAAGAACTCTTTTAATGAACTAATGTTAAATGCAGGAAACATAATAACATTATTCAACCACCATTTTTCATTAAATAGACAGCATGCATTATCATATCACTATGAGAAAGATTTACTCCTCTACATTTTCAAACATTTATCTAAATGATATAGATATCATTCTCAATAACGAATTCCCAAGCTATTAGATGTTATCCAATATATAACAAATGGACCAGTAAAATACTACAGAAATTTATTAAGAGAGAAAACTCACTCATCCTAGAAATTTTCAGATTGATGATAAACAAATCAAATTTTTGGATACTATGATATGTAAAAACACATCATCAATACATACCAGATTAAAAGTTAAAACAGGTCAATTACATTCTTCCGAAGTCAGAGGATTCAACAATGCACACAAACATCGTATATGAATACATGCTAAAAGACATATCCTACACGAAACATGTGATAAGCAGGGATTTTTTAATCATACTCAAACCCGGTTACTGCGAAACAGCACCAGGTGACTTTATCCATTAGACCATCATGCCATCCAGATCGTAGCTCGCACACAAATACTTATGATCTGCTGCATAATACTTCCGTCTATCTACCCCACACATTTAAATCCATCATTAAGCCACAATTTATTAGGTATGCCATAACAGCAACAGAAAAAGTAAACTTTGCAGAAGCATGCCATATGTTAATGAAGTAAATTAAAAAAAGGCCAACTTTTAAAAGATGAAAGAAATCTTGAAAACAGTCCTTAACAGGTACCATATCTGGAAACTAGGAATATGTAAAAACACATCAACACAGAAACCAGGTGACATCAATATTAAAAAAAGGAAAAACAGTCTAAATAGGCTGATAGTTGTGAGATCATATCAACCAAGTCTGGATATATGGTTTAACAGGATACATAACATTATAACATCTTGGTACAACACTGTGTATGTAATCCACAAACACTAACAACAACATAAACACACATAAGCTTGTGGGTATAACTATAACATGTGAATATTAGAAAAAGTAAATGTAAATAACACAAACAGACAATAGCATAAAAAGCACACTTTATGACAAATATCAATCAATTGATGACAAATTTATGACAAATATAATAGCATTAATATACTATACATATATAAACACACAAACATAAACATTAAATAATTTATCAATAAAAATAAAAATTAAAGAAAGGATATATTAAAAATTACAATTAAAAACATTAATTGTAACTTATTTAAGACTTATTAATAATGTAACATATAGAGGCAGTATGGTATACATATGGTGCGAGCAATTGACAAGAGAATTACCTTTTTGTAATTCAAGTTTCTCCTGGGTCTATCTGCAACTTCCATCTGTGAATTTTTCAAATAATAATAATCAAAAAATTGTTGTTAGCAAGTATAATTTTAAGATTCTTTGTGTTTATGTTTTTTATTTCATACTATATAATTACATACACTAGCCTCGGGAGGAGAATAACCAGTCGACTTTTGGTTTTTCTGGTTTTCGTCTTGGTGACTAAAACCATTGGTTGGACATTCACATTTTGCAGCATAGCTACGTTTTAAATTGACACTAGATTTTTCAACACCCTGGCAGTTTGCACTAAAATATTCCTTGTTGTTGAATTGTTTAAAAGTGTCACTTTGAGATGATTTTGCGCCTTTTTTAATCTTAAATTGAAGTCTCGTTTGCTTGCAACACGGACCCGACATTTTTAACAAATCGTAAGTGAAAACGGCAAAGACTTAAGTTGGCAAAATTCGGTAGCCGGTATTTGTCGGTACTACATGTACTGTATCACATGTGGAGAATATAGCATGTTATATTCTATATATATATATGTTCTGTACTAGACTAACTGCTCGAGGCTCTAAATTTGACAGCATTTCTGTTTAAAAAAACTGTTTAACTGGAAAGGTACTGGACTAATTGAAAGAGATGTTAAACTCAGTTTTGAATGTTCCTGAAAGGAATAGACTGCGATCGACAAAATATGAAAATCTTGTTCAGTTGTTTGTCCTCCGTTTAAAACATCTCATATTGGTGTCAGTAAGTTTTCTGCTGCAGCAGCCAAGACTTGGAAATCATTGCCACTTGACCTAAAAGTTTATACTAACATCATTAGTCAGGTGTTCAGAAGCCGATTAAAACGACATTTTTTTACCAAAATGTAACACAATTAGCGCCTCTGAAGATAACTCAATGGAGGAGCTCTACAAATCTACAATACAATAAAATACAATTCAACACTAAATCTTATTTACGCGCATTGCACTAAATATAAATGGCTTTTTTTCACTGGCGTACCGAGGGGGGGCGAGGGGGGCGGATCGCCCCGGGCCTCCGATTTGGAGGGGGCCTCCAAAAAGCCAATTACAAAAATTTTTAAATAATTTATTTATTTAGTAAGTGTATAGACGTGATTTTGTGTTTTGATTTTTTAATATATTTATTTATAAATAATCTGTAGTAATGCATATACTTAGAATAAATGCTTTTTTAAAATCCTGACCGAATTGGTAATCCACGTCTATTTTTAGTCGGACATTGACATCATTATACTTGAATGTGATTGGTTGATATAGTTTTTGGACGAGTTGGCTTTTTCATACTTTTTTTGTTGTCTGTTCCGTTTGGTTTATTAGAGTGAGTTTTAAATTTTATTTATATATTTATCAATCTCTTCTTTAATAAGTTTAAATATAACTACTATCTTTCAGGTAAGAAAAACAGAAAATATACTTTCACCCACCGGTACTGACTCACTAGTTTAAATCTAAGGTACAAAAAGTGTTGATAGGTAAAGACGGATATCTGTTCTCCTCGGTTTACGTGACTGATGTTACACCATTTTTTTTCACTTTTAATTTTTTAAATTATATTTTAAGCCCTGAAGTTAAAATAAATTATTAGAATTAAAACACTATCAACTTTTAGATAGATACGTGATCATGAAGAGACATCATCCAAGTGGAGCACTAAAACGAAAACCAAGAATGTTTATTTTGCTTTTGTTGTCGACTTTTTGCTGCTTGTGATAAAGAAAGTAATAAATTTTCAAAATTTGTTACAGGGTTTAATAATTAGTGGAAACTAAACCCTAAGATTTCACATCAGGAAAATTCTGAAATTCACTCAAACAATCATGAAAAATGGAAAACATTAGAACTAAGTTTGAATCTCAATAAAACCATTGATGCCGTTCATCAAGAAAATCGAGAACTGGAAGCTAAAAAATGGAATGACATTTTACACTGCTTATTGGATGTCACCATGTTTCTAGCAAAACAAAATTTACCTTTTCGAGGCCACAGAGAAGATGACTTTTCTAACAACAAAGGCAATTTCTTAGAGTTAGTTGAATTAATTTCACACTACGACCTTGTCTTAAAAGAACATTTAGTGAGGGTCCAACATAGCAAGGCAGGAAACACGATTTCATATCTTTCCCCTAAAATTCAGAATGAATTTATTTCTATATTGGGAGATACTGTGAAACAGAAAATTATTGATGATGTAAAGCAAGCAAAGTATTACGGTATAATGTTTGATTCAACACCTGATATATCTCACCAAGACCAATTAAGTGAGATTATTAGATATGTTCATATAAAAAACAAAAATGTAGAGGTAAGAGAATCATTTTTAGGATTTTTTCCTCTTGCCAGAAAGAAGGCTATTGATATCACACAAAGAATTGTAAATATTATTGATGAAGAGGGTTTGGACATAAACCTATGTCGAAGCCAAGGTTATGACAATGCTTCGGTAATGTCAGGTGTTCATTTTGGGGTACAAGCCAGGATCCATCAAATAAATCAGAATATTTTATTTGTACCTTGTTCTAATCATTCACTTAACTTGAGCGGGGTTCACGCATTTGGAAGCAACCCAACTTGTGTAACGTTTTTTGGAACAATTGAAAGCATTTACAACTTCTTTTCTTCATCAACTCATAGATGGGATATATTGTCAGAAATAGTCGGGATCACTGCAAAAAGGCTAGCAGGAACCAGGTGGAGTGAGCAATATCATGCGGTGAAACCTGTAATGAATCATTTCAGCAAGTTGGTACAGGCTTTAGAAAAATTATGTGATTCATCAGAAAATGTAGATACGAGAGGTTCAGCTCAAATTTTAATGAAAAATATTCAAGATTTCAAATTTCTTGCTTATCTTCATTTCTGGAGCAGTACTCTTGAGGAAGTCAATCATGCTCAAAAATACTTGCAAACAGAAGGAATTGGTTTAGATAAAACCATTGAAAAATTAGATACCTTAAAACTTTTTCTGCATGAGAGTCACGATGAATTGGTTGAAAATGCATTGATATTTTTTACAAAAATTTGTGAAGAAATGGGAATAGCTACAGAAAAATTGGGTCTAAAAAGTCAAAGAAAGCTTATGCCTGGAGAAGAAAGTAAAGATGAAGCTTTAACGTTGAAACAGGAATTGAGACGATCAATGTTTCAGTCACTTGATAATTTTTATCAAGATCTTAGAAAAAGAATAGACTCAATGCAAAATGTATATGTAAAATTTGCAGCCATTCAATCATCACATCTTATTGGAATGGAGATAGAAGAACTTTCAAAGCTGATACCAAATCTGACAGAAACGTTTGATGAACTAGAAGAAAATGAAATGATACCCGAAATTAAACGATTAAGACGTCATCTTCAAGCAGGGAAAATTGAGAAAGATGATGTTAAAAAATGATGTTTAATATATTTTTCGATTAGCTGAATCAAAATTTTGTGGCACATGTGTACTGACATGTGTAAATGTTTTGTATCTATGTATATTGCATTTTTGTAAAACATAAAATATAAAAACATTTTTCATTTATTTTCTGCATCATCAGCCAATTAAAAAATGAAAAAAAGAATAAGTGCCTTATCCTTTTCTGGACATCGGCGACCATCAATTTCCACAAAATATGGACTGTGGTTAGTTTTTGTCGATGAATTTCTTGGCAGAGGTATAGACATATGTTACCATTTCTTTTTGCCATTGCATCAAATAAGCGACCATATGATGGTCTTTGGGATGAACAGCATGGTATGCTTTCGAACTCGATGACACTGACTTCAACGACCAAGCAGATAATCATTACATCCACCATATAATATCTATGTATATGTAATACATATTATTTATTTATGAAAGGCATCACAAATATTTCCGCCCCGGGCCTCAAAGGCCCTAGGAACGCCACTGCTTTTTTTACACTCACTTTGAATAAGTGTAGCCAATCCAGCATACCGACTTCTCATGTTACCGGCGACATCGAGCATTGAAATCTGTGTAACGTAAATATATAGAAAATGATTTAAAATCATTTATAAGACTTGGCTCGTATTCTTAAAATGTGATTTAAACATGAAAAAAATTTCACCTCTTGCTTAAACTCTCTGTAGAGGTCTCTGCAAACGCAAGCACCAAATCATGCACATATAAAGATATTAGCATTTTGGACAGAGTATTAGAACAATGTCTTCGCGTAACAGCAGCGCGAGACATGGCACCATGGATATATATATATATGTGTGTATATTATGGCCCTCCTACTGAACGAGCTAACTCGGTGATTAAGTTGATGAATATAGGTCATTGGAAATCATTACTGATTCCAAAGTGACTTTTAAAAACAATAATTTAATTCTATTAAATAAAAATAGAAGCATTGGAATAATTAACAAAATTAAAAATTAGTTAATAAATGAATATTTAATATCATTTTGTTATGTTTTTACTTATTCACTGATTTACAGTTATTTTATGAAAGTCTTATTTGGAGCAACACTCGCAAAACTTATTTACATACTGCAAAATTCTCTTAAAATAATTTCCATTAGAAAAATTTAAATAATTAGTAATAAATAATAATAATAAATAAAAAAGTTTTGCATATATTTGAATTGAGTTATTTCAAGTCGTGTAAGCCGTGTTAAGTTTTAAACAATAATACTATTATGACGTTACAATTATGTATGAGAGATGTTGACGCTGGTTTTCTACCTATCTTAATGTTACAGACGTGAAGCCGTAATAAGAACTAGTAGTTAGAAATATGGCAAAAGCATGTGCGTGTGCGTGTACAAGTGTGTCTACTTAACTACTTAGTGCATGTTTATCTATATTATTGATAACGTATCAAAAATGACCTACGCGTTTATTAAACTGCTTTGATTAAACACGTGTCAAAAACTACCTGCGCATCAATTGGATTGTTTTGCTGTGAAAATGTCTTGCATTAAATATAGTTTTTGCATACGTGCCTTAATTGAATTACGAGTGTTTGTGCGCTTGAATGTGCGTTTGTCTGAAGCTATGAAGCTATTTTATGCGGCCCGCGAAACCTTCGCCAAAAAAAGGTCGTCAGCCATACATTACGACCAAAAAAGAGCCACAAATTTGCTACTTAAATACACACACAGCCCTTCAAAGATAAAATAGCCCTCAATGCGGCCCTCACAGCAAAATGTTTGCCAACCTCTGTCCTAATCATAGATAAATATGTGCTTGGCTCTTATTTATTAAGCCAATATATTTGTATACTATACACCAAGGAGAGGCCAGCCAATGATAATGGTCATTGATCATGACACAAAAAAACTAAATATGTTGTGATTTTTTTCTTATAAAAATGTACACAAGACCGTAATAAGTAGTCACAATTTTTTATTAAGAACCATGTTATAACTAAACAATTAAATGTTGCTATGTAAAAATAACAAATCATTAACACTGTTCGCTGATAATGTAGTTCTTCTTTTCTCCAATATTCGACCTGCAATGCTGAAGACACGTTCACTAGCAAATAAAATTGCTGGTATGCATAAAATTTGAGACAAGCTACGTCATAAAGTAAAAGACATACAAGTTTTTTTTCCTTAACTGGGTCCGTATCTTTTTCAACTTTTAAGTTGGAATATTCTGATAATTCATTTCTATTATGGGTTAATTCATTTGGATCACGAATCTCTGTGAAATCAGCAATATCATCAATTTTACATTTTTTTTAGTAAAGGTTAGGTTTCATAACTTTTTCCCCATTCGACCTTTTTTTTAACAAATTTTGTAGTGTTTCAATGGCTTGTTTTTAAACATAATACAATTTCTAACATTCAGGAAAAAAATTCCATTCCCTCTAGTCATTCTCATCTCCCGTCAAGTCAATCCCGTTTGCCTATAAAAATTTTTCAAATAAAATGTACTTTCATTTCCGTGGAAATTCCCATAGTTCCCATGGGAATTCCCTATTTTCCATTCTCATGTCTACCTCTACAGTGAAATCAGCATGCAGCAGAACAATTGTGGACGCAGCAATGAAACCTGTTTTCAAGCGCGTTTCGTCTGTGTTAATGATGGTGCAGCTGTATTCATTGGCTATAAAGACGGTTTTTGGAAATTGTTTTAGGAAAAAAAAATGAAGAATCCATTGATGACAAAGTCCCACTGCTTAAAGCGTGATGCGGCGTCCGTAGATCAAATCTTGCATGAAAGTCTACAAAAGCTGCGTTCAGTGAAGTTGAACAAACGTTTCAGAAACAAGTAGCCTGAGCACATTTTTAACACTTCTGCACTTAGAACTGTAGAGTTGAATGATATTGCGGAAAACAATAACTGTTGCCTAATGTCACTGCCAAAACTCTTTGAGATTCACCGAACTCAGTTCAATTCCAACTTGTTGAATGCAGTCTTGACATTATGGCATTGCCTGGTTATCTTCTTCAAAACTTGCAAAGATTGAAGATTGATGACTTTAAAAAGAATTTGAAAACACATTTATTTTCGTTATAAATAATATCTATTTATTTGAAATGATTAAACGAAATGATTAAACCATTCATTTAAACTATTATTTTACTGTTATTCTAAATTAGTAAATTCCTGCAAAACAAAATTATTATCTTAAAGAGTTTTATTTAAACAAATCAAATACAAAAAAAAACTGACAATTAATTAGATCAACATTGAATCCAAATAATAAGAAATCTAAATTAATTATTAAAGATGAACAATCTAATAAATTGATCACAGACGAGAACGTAATCTGCGAAAAATTTAATGGTTTCTTCGCTGATACAGTAAAAGAGTTCTCCGTGAACAATTCATCTAATAATAATTCATTCGCAAAATATCTGGGTGATTCCCAGACAGATTCATTCTTTTTGACAGAAACCAATGAAAGTGAAATTTACAGTATTATTAAAAATTTCAAAAATTCCAAAAGTTCAGGTGAAGATAATATTTCCAATTTCATTCTAAAAAATTAGACCTCACACTTTTGAAACCATTAAAACATTTAATTAACTTGTCGTTCATTACTGGTAAATTTCCATCTTGTTATAAGATGTGCAAAATAATACCTCTGTTTAAATCTGGTTGCAAGGAGACTTAACTATCAAATTGATGCCTGCCTCAGTATTTGATGAAGAAGTTTGACAGTAAATCAACTGTTGTAAAAGACATTCATTTGAGATCTCATGATCTAAATCTGATGGCCATTAATGGGGCACAATTGAATATAGGAGCAAGAAATATATCTGATGCTGGGCCGACTCTTTGGAATGCGCTGCCAAAGTCATTGCCATACTTGTTTTCGATTTAATTGTGTATTATACTTGTTTTCGATTTAATTGTGTTTATTATTTTGCTGTTTCAGTCATTTTTTCCAATGTGAACTTTTGTATGAACTTTATGAGAAACTTTTAAATTGGCGCTACATTAAATATATATATATATATATATATATATATATATATATATATATATATATATATATATATATATATTCATTTATTTAAAGTAAAACCAGAAGCCCACAAATAGTGCGGCAACTTAACTAACAGAATATTGTGTTTTTTTTGTTTTTTATTTTGTTTTTTATTTTTTGGACATTTTAATATATTTATCAATGATCTATGCAGATCGACTAAGGCTGTTAAATATATTAGGTGAAGTTGAATGTATTCTTAATTCAGAGCTCGCAAGAGTTCACTTGTGGATAATAAATAATAAACTGCAAATTAATTTATAAAAAACTTACGCGATTATTTTTTGTCCTAAAATTGCCACCAATTTACTAACATTCTCTATTTTCTACAATAACAGTTTGGTAGGTCAGTTGGACAAATTAGTCTTTCTAGGTGTTACAATCTCAAGCAATCAATGTTGGAAAGAGCACACAATTAGCATATCAAACAAAGTATCTTAAAATCTAAGAATAATCTATAGACTAAAATATCTCTTACCGAAATGTGTATTACTTAATTTATACTTTTTTCTTATTTATCCTTATTTCACTTATTGTATTGTGTTTTGGGTTGTTACATTAAGTCTCATATTTATTATCTTAGATAGATGTTTATACTTCTTTATTCGTATTTATTATGATCTGAAAAAATATGATCATTCAGATTATTTATCGTTGTCTAATTTGTTTTCTATTCCTAAACTGTACGTTCTCAGATTATTATTATTCTTGTTTAATGTTATAGTTAAGAAGAAATTTGTTATGTTTAATTCATATTTAATTAAATCTTCTGAATATTGCAAACGAACAACTCGGCACACTCCATTATATAATTGTATTGTCCCTGGTACTGTTATATTTTCATCTCCAGCTTTTTGTTAGTCTTATCTAGGATTGATTATTGTAACTCGCTCTACTATGGTCTTCCTGACTCTATACTCTATCCTTTAAGTAAAGCTTTTAACTCTGCTGCTCGTCTAGTTGCTCGTGCCCCTTTCTTTTCTCATATATCTCCATATCTTGTTCTCTTGCACTGGCTACCTATAAAATATAGAATAATTTTTAAAATTTGCACGTTCATGTATAAGTCTCAATCTAAATTATTTCCTAAGTACTTATCAGATATATTAATTGAACCTAAACGCCCCGGTTTACGATCGTCTTCTTCTTCTCGCTTTTTCTTAACTCGTGTTAAACACTCTTTTGCCAAATCTGCTTTTGCTTTTTCTGGTCCTTTTCTCTGGAACTCTCTACCTACTTCTCTAACTATTTCTCCATCACTTGCGAAGTTCAGAGCGGATCTCAAGACCCATCTGTTTTCAAAATTCATTGAGGAGCGCTGTTGAACATCGCGGAAATAGCGCTTTATAAGCTAATTGATTGATTGATTGATTGATTGATTGTTTTTGGTTTAAAACTGTGGTCAAAGCTACCGTGTTTAGTTTAACAAGTATCTAACAATAGGCTATATATAAAATCAATTTTCGACTTAATTAAGAAAAACTATTTTTTACAGGATATGATTTAATTATTTCAATTATTTAAGTTATTTGATAAGGAGAAACTTCTAAAATGAATTCAATTGTTTTGTTTAACTTGATAAATTTTGATGACCATTTTTGTTCTAAGTATTTTCATGTAGGTATATGTTTTTATTTGGTTTTGGTGGCCGTACAAGCTCGTTTGAGCTTCTGTGTCTCCATGCGTTTTTTTGCTGAATAAATTTGTTGAATGAATATATATAAATATATATATATATATATATATATATATATATATATATATATGTTTTTAAGAAAATCAACCGCGTTAATAAAATTATTATATTTATACATTAATTTTTCAAGTTTTCTAAATATTTTGCACTGACGATGATATATTTTATATCGAAAAAACTTAAGGACTAAGGAAGAAGAAAGTGAACAACGATTGCTCCGTCTTCGTCGCGAACTCATCAACAAACGAAATTTAATGTTTGAAATTCAATCTAACATTGATCGAATTAAAAACGAATGGGACAATAACCATGTTAATATTGACATTAAAAACGACATAAATATTTCTCTTCAACGACTTTCATATTTTCAACTGCAACATATTAAACAAAAAACTCGACGGAAATTTGAAAAACTTATGAATAATGGAGAAGTAAGTAGAACTGCTAATTTTGATCGTTTCATAAATCTCAGTAATCACGTTTTAACGGAAAAAGAATTTTTAAATCTAACCATCAACTGTCATTTTTTAAAAAACCTAATAAAATAGATAAGATAATCGAAATAGAAAAATTAATGAACGATATTATTGAATATGAAAAGAAAAATTTAATTGCCGTCAATCCTTCGATTGGTATTCAGTTACAAGCTGAATCCAAGAAACAAAAAGGCAATTTTAATAGCAAATTAATTACAGAGGAAATAAGAAATGCCGCCAAACAGTTGAAACAAAACCAAAATATTGTCATCCGTCATGCTGATAAAGCGTCAATGTATGTCATTCTGAATAAAGATGATTATTTTGGAAAATTGAACACAATATTAAACGACACCACTAAATTTAAAATAATAAAAACTGATCCTACACCATCACTAAAAGTCAAACTCAACAAAATCATCAACCAAATCAACAGACATTGTCCTAATGATAAAATTCCTCCTTTTTTTGGCGAATTCCAACCTGGTTACATTTTTGGTAATGTGAAAACTCATAAAACTGACAATCCATTGAGACCTATCATTAGCCAGATTCCTACCGTAACATATCCAATAGCCAAATTACTATGTAAACTCTTGACTCCTTATGTTCCCAACGATTACAACTTGAAATCTTCACGCGAATTCATCGAAATTTCAAATACTAATTCATCAGCCAAATACATTGCATCACTTGATGTGGAATCCTTATTTACAAACGTACCGGTGAAAGACACAATTAACATCATTATCAATACGGTTTACAATTCAAATATGTCCCCCATCAAAATTCCCAAATCTCATCTCAAATCGCTTTTGGAAATTTGTACAACCGAGGCACCCTTCATAAGTCCAACAGGAAAAATGTATAGACAAATTGATGGTATAGCCATGGGTTCGCCACTAGGAGTACTTTTCGCTAATTTTTATTTAGGACATTTAGAAAACAAGACGTTTGAACAACATCCACATTTAAAACCACACATTTACACTCGATATGTTGATGATATTTTTGTCGCATATGATGAACAAGACATGATCGATGAACTCGTTACCGTGTTTAATCATTCAAAAGTTAAATTCACGATTGAATTAAAAAAAGAAAAATCATTACCGTTTCTGGATGTGCTCGTTAAACATGATGAACGTAATTTCAACATCTCAGTTTATGTGAAAGAAACCAACAAAGGAATTTGTCTTAATGGACAAAGTGAGTGTACGAAAGAATATAAACTGAATACTATCAAAGCCTTCGTCAACCGAGCAATAACACACTCAACTACTCAAAATGACATCAATACAGAATTGAATCGGATTAAAAAACTACTTGTTAATAATGGTTATCAAATATCAGATATTAACAATGTAATTAAATTTAAATTAAGAAATATCAGTAACAACAACAATAATAACTACAACAGAGTTACAAGTAGTAATATTATCACCAACAACAATAATCTTTCTATTGATAATGATAACTCCATTGCCAACTATAACATCATTATAACAACAACAATAACAGTAATCTTAATATTGATAACGATAACAACAACAATAATTTGAACAATAATCACAATAATGACTATAACTATATTATTCATAATACTAATAATTATAACGAAAGCATTGTCAACAACAACAACGATGAAGTCAATAATAACAACAATAATCCAGATACTAATCACAACATCATAGTCAACAACTATAGTAACCAAAACAAACAACACATACTACAATAACGCCAATAATAACAATAACAATACTACCAACAGCATTCACAACAATAATAATTACAATGATAAAGATATTATTCTATATTACCGCAACATCATGTCCACTTCATATAAAACAGATAAAAAGATTTTAAGAAAACTAATTTACAACAATATCAAACCCGTCAATCCCGATTGCAAAATTAAGTTAAGAATATATTATAAAAACGCCAAAACATCACACATGATAATCAAAAATAACTGTCAACCCAACAACAATTCCATCATGAAAAATAGTCATCTTATATATGAATTTTCCTTTCCCATTGGTAACTGTGTGCACCAAACTTCTGCATATATAGGAATGACCACCACTCAACTTTCTCGTCGACTTACCAAAAGAGAGGGTGCGATCAAA